TCTGCCAGGTAGTTGGCCTGTAAAGGAGAATGCTTCACAATGTGTTATCCTCTGTGCTTTGTGCCCCAACATGGGTAAGGCTTCATGAGACCACTCTCTTTTAAGTTCTATCTTCACCCTGGTTTCTACATGAAAGGGTTTGTACAATGGCCTCCATGATACATTCAGAATCTCTGCCCCATCCCATCACTAAAACAAACCTGTCAGGCCTGTCTCCTTCCCCAAGGTTTATTTTTTCACAGAAGACATACTTCAGGTGAACTGCCACAGCACTTTTATCCCACGTACAGGCCATGCCTGAATCCTGGGAGGTGAGGTCTAGACTCAACCTGAGCCTCTCTTTGCAAAAGATAAACTGACGGGATTCTACCTGGAGGGCTTTGAGGAAAGAGGAGCTACAAGTTTGGGCTTTGAAGCTCTCAGTCAGTTGAGGAAGCACAGGGTGAGATCTCCCGGGACTGAGGACTCTCATTAGAGCAGTGCTATACATGCTGCTAAAGCTACTTATAGAGTAAAATGGAAATTATCCATTATTAGGGCTTATGACTTATTCATTAACCTTAAAGGGAAGTGTTCATGATCACAGCAACAAAAGATGTTAAACTTGCACAGATAATTAACATGAACTGATCTTACTTGCTCCTAATACTCTAGGCACAGTATTTGTGAAGAAACACAGGAGATATTTCCCCAGATAACTAAAATGCTACATACTAAAACCGCTTAGAAATACATGCTTAAAATTTGCATGACTAGCCTGAAACGCTATACATTGAAGAAATTGTTGCCAGGAAAGGTGGTATAATCTCAGCAAGTGGGAGGCTGAGGCAGGAGGATTGCCACAAGTTCAAGTTCAAGGCCAGCCTGAGCTATGAGACCTGGTCTCAAAAAAAAAAAAAAAAAAAAAAAAAAAAGCCAGGCTTGATAGTGCATACCTTTAATCCTAGCACTTGGGAGGAAGACAAAGGTGGATCTCTGTGAGATCAAGGCCAGCCTAGTTTACATAGCAAGTTCCAGAAATCTACATAAAAGCCTGACCCATAATGCAAGCATCTATAATGCCAATGCTCCTGTTGGGAAATGGGAGGCAGAGAAAGGAGAATCCCTGGAAGACCAGCTAGCCTGGCTATGCAGTGATGAACAGTAGGAGACCTTGTCTCAATGTGGAAGGCAAGATAATGCAGTGTTGGATGTGTATGCCCTCATACACACACACACACACACACACACACACACACACACACAATACACACAAGAAAAAAAAAGAAAATACAAATCTGAAAGGTGTTATGGCTGGGAGCCAATAGAATAATTCGTCTTTAGGTGACCTGTTAACTTTAGAGTTTTCTAAGCTAACAGGAATGTTCTAGCATAGAGTTGGAATTTCAGTGACTGATATGTTTTGAGATAATAACTTCATTTACTGAGAGCTGTGTGCTGAGTGGTATTTTAAATGTTCTGTACATTTGGACTGCACAAGAAGTCCATATTATCTTTTCTTCCCACTTGCCGGGTAATGAACTCAAGGCATAAAGAAGGCAGGTGACTTGCCAACGTTACCCTGCCAGGAAGCGGCAGAGCCAGAATTTAGCTCTAAAGTCATGCTCTTCCTTCCTTTGTAATGATGCTCCCCATCCCAGCTCCCAGGAAAGTTCAGCCTGCTTCAGGTATCTAGGACCAAAAGGATTCACATAGCCCATGCACAGACAAGAGCTAGAACCCCTACCCTGCCTCCCAGCTTGCTCAGAAGTGCTGAAGGCTAACTGCGCTCTTCCTGCCATTTCTGACAGTTCCCTCTCCACCCAGCTGATGGATGGCAAATATCAAAGTCTTGTGACTACTCCAGGACCCCTGACACCTTACAGAGGTGCTTGGCCTTTCATCAGTTGTTCCATTACCCCTTAGGATCTGTCTATGGAAAGAGTCTTTTCTTTCAGTTTGTATTAAAACGCAGGCTTTCCCCTATGCCATTGTCCCCTGGACCTTGGTCTCTAAACATCGAGCCAGCCAGGACTGCAATTCCCCAAGTGCTCCTGCTAAAGTTGGTGTCCAGGAAGGTGAGGGGCTGAGCAACCTTACAGATCTTTGTGTCCAGATGCCTCTGCTGTGAAGAAAGCTTCCTCTTCAAGTTCCTGCAAAGGAGGGGAAGGGGGGGGTGGAGCCTCCAAACTAAGAAGGTGGTGGCTCAAGGGCTCCACCATGAGGAAGTCAGGAACAGAGACCTAAGCAGCACAAGGCCTTTCATGAGCAGGTGCCACCTTCACGCACTAGAGGCAGGAGGTATAGAACCAAGACACGTGGAGCAGGCTGGAGAGGAAGAAACTTGTCACTGTGTCTTCCTCTGTGCTGGGTAGCTTTAGTTACCAAACTGACACACCTAGTAGAGGAAGCTTCAATTGAGGAATTGCCTCCACTGGACTGGTCTGTGCCATGTCTATATTTTCTTGATTGTTGAGTGATGTGGGAAGGCCCAGCCCACAGTTGGTGGTGCTGTATTATATAAGAAAGCAGGCTGAGCATGGGCCAAGGGAGCAAGCCAGTAAGCAGAGTTCCTTCAGCTCCTGCCTCCAGGTTCCTGCCCTGAGTTCCTACCTTGGGCTCTCTTAGTGATGAACCTAGAAGGTGTAAGCAAAATAAACCCTTTCCTCCCCAAGTTGATACTGGTCAGAGCAATTGAAAGCAAACTAGAACATCCCTTCCCTGCCTCTTTCATTCCCCAACAAGATCCCAGGGAGGCAAAAGAACACAGCAGCCTCTGCTGCCTCTTCCATCTCTATACCTGGCACATGGTGCTGGTGGCTCTGAGCGCTATGAAAGTCCCAGCTGGCAAGGTGCTAAAACTATTCTTTCTTTTAAAACTACATGGAATTGGCTTGCTAAATTCTCCTGTAAGATCTGCACACCAAATCTCCCACTGACTGACAGAGCTCTGCTTGTGAGCTGCTAGCAGGAAGCCCTCACCTCTGCAAGCTTCCCCTGGTTTCTCCCCTGGAAACTGACAGGCTCCTGCAGTTACCAGCTCTTATCAGTTCCTCCCAAACCACCAACCCTTTGAGGCAGCTACCCATCAGCACAGCACCACTGTGGCTAGGGGTTTCTAAGGGAAGTGTGAGTTTGGTGTCCAAACCTGTAGAGAATACTGGCCTTATCACTTTAAGGTAGGCACAGAAGTTCTCTAAAATTACTTGAAAATGAGGGCAATATTTTACTTACTCTGCTTATTGTGTGTCTGCCCTACTAGAAGAGCAGACCTTGATTTTATCTCCAGTACTTCCATGATGCCTGGTAACCAGTATGTATTTGTAGAGAGAAGGAGAGAAAAAAATCCCTTCTTGGTAGGATTGTTAAAAAATTAAATGAAGCTTGTGGATCATGTGTGCTCAGCTGTCAATTATTCTGATGACATAACAGGCTCCACCATGCAACTAATTCTGTCATTTCACCCTTCATCAAATACAAGTTACAGAGCATCTGCTACATGTCACCAAGGACAATACAAGGGTATTTCATTGATGCCAGTTGTTTTGTTTTGTGTTTGGGATTGAATAGAACCCAGGGGCTCACACACAAACTAGGCAAGCATCCACCTCTGAGCTACCTCCCAGGATAATCCAAGTGCAAAGACCATGGCCCTAACCCTAAAGTGAATCAACTATAAATTCAGTACATCATGTTCCAGAAAGTTACAAGTACAGAGGGCAATAAGCACAGAGCTGCCAGTAAAGAAGGCAGGGGCCATTAATCCCAGATACTTGCAAACCACTCTGGTTATGACTCCATAGAGCAGAAATCATATGCAGAAATTTGTATCTTGAATTCTTCCACCAACTTCCTTAGGCTCTAGATTTAGGGCTATAGCATTAAAATTTCTCTCAACTATGCTCACTTTCCTGAATGTCCAATGTCCACAAAGGAAAAGATGTAAAGGTCAACTGTTTGGGAATGAGGGTACAACTGAGGAGAGAAGATCTGAAACAGCAACGGTGAAGAATGGAGATCCAATTCACCAGGGTACTAGTGTAGGATTGCAGACAGTTCTGAGGTAGGTAATTGTGATTTAAACAAATAACCAATCCAACTTGCCTGTTTGATGACTTTTTAACATTTTTATGTTATTATTTTGTGTATGATGTATGTTTGAGTGTAGGGGTACACAATTCAGGGCTTGTGTGTAGAGGTCAGAGGACATTCCTCAGAGAATTGGTTCTCCCTTTCCACTTTTATGTAGGTGCCAGGAATCAAATTCTGTCATCTTGGCCCATATAGCAAGCACTTTTACCTACTGAGCCATCTTACCAGTCCTGGTCTGACTTTTTTCTCTACAGAATTTGACTGCAGAGGTGAAAATATAACAACTTGGATTGTTGCTTTGGAATGGTCCTGGAGAATTTCTTGGATTTCTTTATGCTCAATAAAACATAAAGGAGGAACAGCAGTCAGGGTACTGATAATAATGCTGTGATTACTGATACGGGGGATTATGGGCTCTCAGGTAATGCAAAGAAACAAGAGAAGATCATGAATTGGGAGTACGTAAAGGAGAGATGGAGGGTCTTGATCAGGTATAAGAACTGTGGCAGCTGGGATAGCTAAACAAATTACATAATAGTACCAACTGCACTACGTTAGGATTAAGGTAGCCTGCACTAATATAAAAAACTCTTACCCAAAAGAACATACCCAAAATGACGTAATGATACAATTTATTTCAATATACTCAACAAAAAAAGAATACCTTGTTTCATTGGGGAAAAATCCCTATTCTCTACATGCAAGGTGGGTTTGATTTGCCATAGTGTATTTTAGCAAAATATATTTAGTAACACCATGTCTAATAAAGCTTTCTATAGACATAATAAATGGTAAACAATTTTGCTAAATGACCAGCCATTTGGAAAAATCAAAATGAAGTTGTAAGAGTTAAATATATATTAAAAATACTGTGAACTAACTTTCCAAAAAATAAATTCTTCAGTCTTCCATTTTTACATATATATATATTTTTTTAACAGAATTAAGCCACAAATTTGAAGGACAAATCCTCCCCCCATTTCTTCAGGAATATCAGATTCTTCTTCAAACCCAGAGCAGTTTACAAAGGAGTCGACCATTTAAAGAAAGTGGTGAGGAACAAAGACGTTCAGCCTCTGTCTCTTGTCTAGGTCTGTCTGAGTTAGCTGCCAATTCACTTGATTAGCTTAAAACTTGACACTTGATTTTAGGGCTGACTTGCAGCCCACCAGCAGCTTTCTTTATCAATGAAGTTTGTGACATTAAGCCCTTAGCTTCATTGTCCAAAGTAAATCTGGGGATTCTAGGGGATTCTGGGCGAGTAACAGGAGTATATTAAATGTAAAATTCTGAATATTAAATTATTTTTAATATGTAAACTGCTACATTTTTCTGAATGCATTTCTTCTTGCACAAAAAATAAAGTGGCAGCTGAGCATGGTGGCATCTGTAATCCCAGTACTTGGGAGGCTGAGGCAGGAGGATCATGAGTTTAAGTCAGCCTGGGCTATATATACAAGTTATAAGCCAGGCCAGAACATATAGTGAAATGTTAACTCAAAGAAGGAAAAATAAAATATAATAAAGGGGAAAAAGAAGCCAAATCACCTGAATATTTTTAAGTGAAACAACTGTAAAATGCTCAAATAACAAGACATGGCTTGGGGCAGCTTACATTGTAAGAATAATTGTTGATTACTGAAACTCAGAAACTCAGTCCTACCTAACAGTGCTAGAATAAACTCGCCCAAAGTTCATGCAAGCCATGATTTGTGCTACAACAAAATGCTTCCAATAAGTTCAGTTTATCACAGAACTATGTTTTTACGTCGTTAAATAATAGTTAACTTTATTATAGCAATGATTTAAATACATGTGCTGTAAGAAAGAGAAAACAGTTATAAACTCAATTTTTTCTTTACCTGTGAAATATTAAAAATACATTCTACAACTTCTTGATTCTTTCATATCTAAGAACCAAAATATTAAACATAATAAATAAATGTGCAATCTGGAGACATTGAAAAGGGCACAGAATACTGAATATAATATAACAGTGTATTAAAAATCCATTTTTTAAAGACTTCTTCCAAATACAGTTATGCTTACTGTTACTTTAAATAAGCCTCACATTAAGGCACCTGTCATTATTTATAATAAAGATCTGGACCCAAAATTTAGGGAGTATGCACTGTAAAACTTTTTCTTTCATTCTGATATAATTACAGATATTGTCAGTTTTAGATGTTTCTATATGGTAGTAGATAAATACCTTGGAACATATTACCTGAATATCTCAAATGTTTCTCTGTGATATTTTGATACTCTAATTAAAGTATTCATTAGTACTGTGATAGCGCATGATACTTTAATTAGCAAGGAAATAGCAAAATCAAATTAAGGTAGATGCCAAAGAACTAAATTTAAGGGATGTGATAGCCTCTAAAAATTGGTAGGGACAGAGTATGAGATCTTGGCCAAGTAATTCAGCTTCTCTGAACCCTCGCAATTCTATGTTTCAATAACAGCTGCTCTGTCAAGCTTAGGAGGCTATTGGGTGACTACAGAAGAAAACCTTAACCAAATGAACAAGTAACAGAATGACCATAGGCCAAAAGGTCTGGTTTCTGATGTTCTCTCTAATAATGAAATTATGACTGACTCCTTTTAAACTGAACAAAAACTTACATAAAAGAAACATATTTGAATTTCTGCTTCCAGAATTTTATATGTGTGTGTGTGTGTGTGTGTGTGTGTGTGTGTGTGTGTGTGATGGATGTGTGCTGCAATGGGTTTTATGTGGATACTGGGAATCCAAACTCATGTTCTCATGCTTGGGCAGCAGGCACTTGACTGACTGAGCCTTCTCCACAGCCCTCAAACTTCCATATATTGCTAAGCAGGAAACAAGTGGTTGAAGGGGCTCAAGCTACTTCTTGATGTTTCCTGAAAATGAAGAGGAGCAGATGCCTTGGCTCCTGGCCTTTTCTGAATCTTTCCTAGCTAGATTTCCATCTCCCTCACCATCTTATCATACAGCTGACGTCAGTCTCAGATAAATTCCTCAGCTTGGCATAAATCTGAAATGTTCCAGTAATCCCTATCACGTCTCTTTTTTGTCCATTTTCAGTATGTATAAATGATTCCAATGTACTGAGAGGCCTGCTGAGAGAGATGTTGGGAGGTAGAAAACACACTGTTGAGTACATATATGTGGGTTATCAAAGTGAGCTACTTCTGTACTGCACACTCCCTCAGTTGTGGCACTGATGTACATTCTAAGGAGGGATGGAGTTTCCCAAACTCATCTGATCACTAAATCTCCTTTTCCAGCACAAAAATTCTGGAGGGTCCACCAGATCTAACAACGTTATTTTGAGAAATGCCAGTCTATCCTAGTTCTAAACATTCCAAGGCTATATCTGGCAATAGTTGCCCTTTTAATTCCTGAAGAATAACTTTTCTTGCAAGGTCAACTACCATAATAACTCTCTGGATTCTACCCCACAAGGCTCCCACCTCAAGCAACTGAGAGCTATAATGTCTTTACTACATACTGAAAAACTCAAAGAAGTTGATGAGAATTATGATATAAGGAAATCCTTATATTCTTCTCATACACATTAAAAATACAAGAATCTAATTGTAGATCTTACAACCCAGAATCCCAATCACTTTGAGGAGTGTATTGTATCACAATGTCACTGCAATAAATCTTATCAATGATATTAAGAAGCAGTAGAGGTAGTAGAGGTAGAAGAATTGGTTAAGCACTTACTTTTATATATTAATCCTTCTGTCACCTCTATGAACTTGGGACTTATTATACCCATTTTAAAGACAAATGTGTTGGAGTTTACAGTGATTAACTGACTTGCCAAGGATCACACAAAGGATGTAAGGGCAGAATGTCAAACTCATACCTGTCTTCAATCTATGATCTAATGCTATCTTAGATGAGAGTGATTAAAAAAGGGGAGTATTTAGGTCACACTTTTGTTGTAAAGGAAAATTACAGTGTGTTTAGATAAATCCAACTTGCTTAAAATTTGGTTTTAGATTTCCTTACATTCAAATTCCTGTTCACTTAAAGGAGATATTTGAAGTTTTAAAAAGGCAGAGAAAAATAGACTGCTATTTACCAATGATAAGTTTTTAGGTTTTTTTTAGGGGGGAGGCTTTAAAAATCTGCATCCAAGGTGAAGATGTTATCTGTGGTTTCCGCCATCACTGCAAAACGCTGATACTCTGAAACTCGTTTCTCAAAAAAATTTGTTTTCCCTTCTAAAGAAATGTTTTCCATAAAATCAAAAGGATTGTCTGCCTGAAAAACCTGTAAAGAAACAAAATGTCATTAGACATTCTGAAGAAGCCAAATTACATCCCATAACAAGGGCAAAGATGACAAAAACCTGAGTGCAGGTCTCCCCCTTCCAGTCACCTACAGAGCCACATTATTCCTCTAAGATACTGATAAATTTTTCAGATGGTTGAGAACTTGTTATTAACCTCCTCAAGAAACTTTATTAATATCCCTGATAATCCATGAAATTGAAAATAAGATTATTTCAGGAAATTAAATATTAAACACTGACCAAAGAAAACTATGCACACTTCTCACAGTCATACTATTACATGGTTACCTATATATGGTCTACAAAATACAAAATTACTATCAATGTCCTGTGATCCCAAGGACACAGGATTATCTATGCTCTTGTATGATTCACAAGAGCATAGATAATCAACAAATTGACATTAAGGAATCATGATCAAGCCAGTCATGGTGGTGCACACTTTTAATCCCAGCACTTGAGAGGCAGAGGCAGGCGGATCTCTGAGTTCGAGGCCAGCCGGGTCTATATAGTGAGTTCAAGGCCAGCTAGGTCTACATAGCGAGGTCCAGGCCAGCTGGGACCACAGGGAGACCCTGTCTGAAAAATACCAAAAAAGAAAAAGAAACAAAAAACCAACAATGAAAGGATCATGACCAAGGAAGAAATAAATTCTACCCAATGACCAGATATCTACACAAAGAGAGCTGGGTTCTCATTGCCATGCAGCTTTTTACTGTTTCTGAGTTGAAGAAGCTAGAGCTGGAGGTCCAGCTGGACCGACACTGTAAGATGTTCCAGTCATTCAAGGGTACAATAAAGGAGGACTTCTGTACTTAAGAGTATCATAGCAGGCTGTCAATATCTCAAATAAGGATACATTTAAACAACCCAATTAAAAAAAAAAGACAGAGGATTAGAACAGAATATGACACACATGTATGAAGATGCCATAAAGAAACCCAATACTTTTTATGCTAACCTAAAAATCAATAAAAAAGAATACAGAGGATCAAATAAATACAGAGACACTTCTTCAAAGAAGGTACATAAAAGGCCAATAAGCACATGAAAATGTCCCCAAAGTCTCTACCTACTAGGGAAATGCAAATCAAAAGCACAATGAAAAGACCACTCCAGACTTTGTCGGCTGACTAAATGCCAGGTGTGGTGGGGCACGCCTTTAATCCCAGCACTCGGGAGGCCAAGGCAGGAGGATTTCTGTGAGTTCAAGTCCAGCCTGGTCTACATAGTGAGTTCCAGGACAGCTGGGGCTACAGGGAGACCCTGTTTCAAAAAAACCCAAAAAAAAAAAAAAAAAAAAAAAAAGATAACTATTGGTGAGGATGTGTAGAAATTAGAACCCTCATACACTAGTAAGAATGTAAAATTATCTAGACACTTTGGAAAACAGTCTGGCAGTACTTCTAATAATTAAACATGAAATTATCATATGATCCAGAAATTTCATTTCTAGGTATATACTCAATTGAAATGAAAATATATATCTATGAAAAAATTGTGCCTGACATGGCAGCACATGCATTTAATCCCAGCACTTGGGAGGCAGAGGCAAGGAGAGCTCTGTGACTCTGAGGCCAGCTTGGTCTATGTAGCTAGTTTCAGGTCAGCCAGTGCTACATAATGTATATATGAATGTTCATAGCAACATTATTCATAAGAGCAAAAAGCAGTGAAAACAACCCACTGTCTATCAACTGATGGATGAATAGATACAATTTAGTATATCCATATAATGAGATATTACTTAGCAATAAAAAGAAAAAAGTACCAGTATAGGTTACATCATGAATGAAGCATGAAAACATTAAAGGAAAGAAGAGAGCCACAAAAGCCATGAATCAAGCAATTCTATTTATATCAAATGGAATATATTAGAATAAGCAGATCTATAAAAACAAAAATTAGATTAGTAATTGCCTAAGCAAGGAATGAGAAGAAGAAGGGGAAGAAGGGAAATGACTGATGGTTCATAGGAATGGAGTTTTTCTTTGGATGATAAAAATGTCCTAAAATATTTTGTTGTGAAGGCTGAACACTGAATATATTAAAAAACATTTTACATTTAAATGGTCAAGTTTCATGCTATGTGACTGTATTTTAATAAATTTTTAAATATACATTTATATTTTTATAAAAGCTCATATGTCATGAGGCTGA